GCCAGCAGTCCGAGTTCCCTGGCATGGCCAGCAGCCCCAGTTCCCTGGCATGGCCAGCAGCCCCAATTCCTGGCATGGCCAGCAGTCCCAGTTCCCTGGCATGGCCAGCAGTCCGAGTTCCCTGGCATGGCCAGCAGCCCCAGTTCCCTGGCATGGCCAGCAGCCCCAATTCCTGGCATGGCCAGCAGTCCCAGTTCCCTGGCATGGCCAGCAGTCCCAGTTCCCTGGCATGGCCAGCAGCCCCAGGGCCAGCACCAAAACTGCTGCCAGCTCCAGAGCAGCCCCCCAGGAATGCCCTGGTGTTCCCAAAGGGAACCATTCCCCACGGGACAGCCCAAGCCCCCCCAGGCCCCCTCTGGGCCCGGCACAGGGGGAGCTGCCCCTTCCCCACTCACCTGCCGGGGCTCCATCGGCCGTTCTGGCGGTTGCTGGGCTCCAGTTCCACATCCAGGGCAGTTGGAGAGCCCTGCCCCAGCCCAGCTGCCCTTCCCCACCCTGAACACCCGTGGAGCACATCGGGCACCGCTCCTGCCCCACAGCTGCTGGCAAGGTGAGGGTGGCTCCAGCCCCACTGAGGGCACCCAGGAGCTTCCAAACCAATCCCTCCTTCTCCTCCTGGGCTTCACCTGCAGCTGGGCTGGGCTGGGCTGGGCTTGTGCTTCAAAAGGCCACAAGGACCAGCGGGAGCAGCAGCTGTCACTGTGAAGTCAGGGGCTGCTGCTGAAGGGATGTGACCCAGGTCCAAACACATCCTTGTGCTGGACACAACTCTGCCGAAGTTAAACCCAGGCTTGGGGGTCAATGGCTTTGAAAAGCAAACTCAGAACTGGTAACAGCTCTCATCTGGTCTCTGGCTGGTGTTGTGCAGAAGTAGATTTAAGATTTTTTTAGTTTTTCATGTGAAAAGGCATTTCAATGTGTTCTTTCTGCAATTATTGCAGGCAAGTGACTATTTATGCCTTGCCTTCAAGCCTAGGAGTATCTGACTTTAGTGAAAGTAATTTTTAAATGCACCTCAAAGTTTAAATAACTCAAAGCATCTTTCTTCCCAGCAAGAATATAATAGGTCTTTGGTGCAATCTGCCTTACAAAAATGGAGGATGACCATGAGAAATATCTTAGAAAATACAGGTTAATTTGTTCCTATTCTAAATGGCCAGCTGGGCAAACCCTCCTGTGGTTTGGTGGAGAAACTCAAGTCAGATTTCTTTTGTACCTCTGAACTTGCAGGATGATTTGATGTTTTTTTCAGGAGCATCATGACAGTAAAGAAAAATGAGGTTTGTCTTTTTGGTATAGTGGAGGCCTTTCATTATTTATTTTTTTATTTTTATTTTTCAAGACTCTTAAATCTTGCACTTTATTAATAGCAGCTACAGTAAAATTAAAATAAATCCTTCATTGCAATGGAGAAGTTATAATTTTGGCAGCTGCTTGTCCTGCCCTATGTCATTGCTTCGTGTGAAGCCTCTGCTGCTGGGGGTCCCTCTTTCACTGGTTTTGGAAATTTCATGGAATTGCTCACATGTTAGAAAGAAAGGGTTCATTCCAATTAAATTTATTGCCTGAGCTCTTCTAGTCCAAGTGCTTGAAGGTTGTTGTGAGAAATGATTCTCACTTTCAAAAATTTAGAAGCCTTATTGAAACCTTATCAAAAACACAACAGAAGACTGCATAAACAAAATAATACAGCACCGGAAGCAAAGGATTCAATCACCATGTGCTCTTCTACAAAATGGGTATCCTGCCCTTTACACGTCTAGCCCCTCTTAACATATATTTAATATTTGCTCATTAAATGTGAGAGCCAGCCATTGCATTACTCACCTGTAACATCATTTTCTAACGTTGTTGGCTTTCTCAGCTTCTGTTAATACTTGTGATTTTATAACATAATGTTCTGGGATGGGATTTTGCAAGATTTTGTAATCAGATTTCATTTTTGGTTTTGGATTTCTTAGTGCTGGGTCAGAACTGAACGCAGCATCTTGGGGGGAAGCTGTCAACCTCCGTGGGGCTGGGACCTGTGGGGCTCTGAGGGGTCCCTGGTGTGAAAAACACCAATCACTTGTTTTCAAATTTTAAAAGTTTAATAGTAATAAAATGGTTATAAAGATAGTAATACAAATTAAAGCAATAAGAACTTGGACAAGCAGAGTTAGGACAATAAAGGACAATAAAAAAAGTAAAGAATTATGAACGTTAGATGCTTTCCTCAAAAAGGCATGGCTCACTAACAAAGGATTAACTCTTAAAAGCAATGGCCTGTTGCATATTCATATATCTCATACATGATGCAAACATTCCTTTCAAACAAAGGGTGTTTTCTGGTTATTGTCAACTTCCCATCTCATCTTGTAAATCATGGTTTGGCTCCATGGAGGCTGAAAGGAGGTAGAAGAAGCCTGGTTCTTCCTGATAAGGAGGCAATAATTTTTCTCTTTTGGATTTTAGTGTCTTGTTGCTGTTATCTCTATGGAAATAATTTCTTGATTATCCTATCCATTCCTTGAGCTAGTTAGAAAAGTATCTTACATCACATAGTTTCTATTTTAATATTATGTTATAGCCTAAAACTATATTTAACACACTACTTAAAAGGATTAATACAGCATAACTTTCTAACATAACACATATAATATTCATTTTAATATTTGTGAAAAGCCAATAATAAAATACACATTTTTCACCTGGGCAGGGCAGGAGGCTGACCTGGCCCTCACAGCACCTCCCTGCCCAAGCAGGCACCGTCTGCAGAGGTGGTGGAGGCTGTGAGAGTTGTGTTGTACTGTTTATCATGTTCCACCTCTGGAGCTGGGTGGAGGTTTGGGTTTCTGTTTTTTAACTTATTTGTTTTTGATTGTGTTGGTTTGGTTTAGGGTTTGTTTGTTTTTGGTTTTTTGTTTTTTGGTTTTTTGTTGGTTTTTTTTTTTTTTTGGCAGAGATCTATTCTTGTTGCTATTACTTTTACAATAATTTTTATAATTAAAAAAATAATATAATTTCTTTTTTTTACATAAGTAGCAGAAACCCTTCCATGCCTGTTCACAGCCAGGGTCTAGGGTGAAAGGAGGTGGAAGTTGATGCAAAGGAGCTGTAACATCACTACAAAACTCAGTGCCCAACTCTCGTGTCACAGACGGCGAGGCAGGGCCCAGGTGGCCCCTGAGAGAAGGGCTGGGGCTGAGGGGATGGGCACAGTTGTCCATCCCGTGCTGAGGAACTGTTTTTCCATGGGCATGATCTCCTTAGCATAGCCTGGATCAGTGTCAGCTGCACAGTGCTGTCACCACCTCTCCAAAGTGGGCACTGGAGCCTTCATCTCCGGTCCTCAACCCTCTCCAATTAGCTGTACAAGCGTTGAGGACTTGGCAAAGGGGAGGATAATGACTCTTTAGGCCTTTCTTTGCTCGAATGAGCCCTGGGGTGTATTTGGTGTTCTGAGTCCAGGATCCTCAGATGCTGAGAGGAGAGAGCAGCAGTCCCCCAAGAAATCCAAGTGAGAAGAAAAACACAAAGTGTGGTGGAGCATTGCCTGTTCTGATGGAGCATCCCCAGGGCCTCCTCAGGGTTGGGGCTGTGGTTGCAGCAGGCAGAGGCACTGGGCAGGGGGCTCTGGTGCTGAGCAAACCTTTGTTGATGGAGCAGAAGGGCCAAGGCCTGACCCTGGTCCCTGGGACGGGAGATCTGTCCTTCCCAGAGCCCAGGTCTCTCCCTGCAGGCAGCCTGGGCTGTGCAGGCAGTGCCAGGGAAGGACAGCAGTGTCACAGTGCCCAACGTCTCCAGGGCTGCAAGGACACAGCCCCAGTGCCACGAGGACAGCCCGTGTCCTCACAGAGCTCTCCGGGGCACACGACTGCCGTGGCCAAGGGGACCAAGAGCTCAGGGACCTGCAGGCAGCTTCAGAGCTCCTGGGGAAGCACTCTGTGTGGCTGCCATCATGTCAGGGACCACGAGCAGACTAAGAACCATTTATTGCTTAGATAACATCAGTCTCAGAGGCCATGAGATTTATAAGACAGCAAGCATAGTCTTATAAATAGTCTTAGGCTATGGTCTAAGATGGTCACAGGTTCTTCGTTGCAAGTCAGTATGAGAGGAATGACAGATTTGTCTTTAAAACCAAGCTGTGGGTCTGCTGCTAGATAAAACTAGCACTGAGAGATAAAAGAAACAATGGGAAGGGTTCCACTGATTGATGAATGAAAAAAGATATTTTGCTTTTACAAATAAACTGTAGGTTTGCTAGTAAATGAAACTGGATATTGAAAGATGAAAGAAACACTGGGGGAAAACCCTAAATTCCATAAGAATTAAAAATTAAAAGGGAGGGTTATACATTAGAGGGAAATCTCTGGTATCAGGTGTTTCAGCAAGTCTGTACTTCTCAAGTACCTCAGCCAATGGGGAGAGAAAGGAAATTAGGATAAAAAGGAGGCTGCATCCTCCAAAAATTGGAGAGACCCCAGGGGAATGCCCCATGGCCTCTCCCTTTATTCAAACAAAGTAAAAGGACTCCTCTGTCTCCTTTTTGGACATAAACCTCTGATGTTTGTGGACTCATGTTCCTAACATAATAAACACAGGAGGACACCTGTACAGATATGCCAACTATCAGCACCCACACACTCCAGCAGTGTGGGCCAAGGTCCAAAAACCACAGATGATGATAAAAAAGGACTAAAACCACAACCACTGAATGCTTATGCTCTAAAAAGGCAGATCCAAGGAAGAGATATACTGAACAGTTCTTGGAACATGTAAACTAGTTTGGAGAAAAGTTTACTATGCATAAGGGTGTATGAATAGGCAAAGGGCTGATGTAAGGGAAAAGGTATTTAAGGGGTATCTCCCAAGATGCACCTCTGCTCTGTGGTCCTTGTCTCCCATTGTCCTTTATTACACTTTTTAAATTTTCACAAGAGACTGAACGTGTTTTTCACACCCCACACCCCCTGCCTGCTGATGGATCTTGCCAACCCAGCTTGGAGCTCCCCGAGCCCTGCTGGGGCACCAGGATCACGGGCCCCTGTGGGTTTGTGCAGCAAAGCCTCTGTTAATGCCGTAGGTGTTGTTGTTGTTTGCTTTATTATACACATTAGTAAAGAACTGTTATGCCTATTCCTATATCTTTGCTTGAGAGCCCCTTGATTTCACAATTCTAATAATTCAGAGGGAGGGGGTTTACATTTTCCAGTCCAAGGAGGGCTCCTGCCTTCCTTAGCAGACACCTGAATTTCAAACCAAGACAAGGAAAAAAATCAGCTCTTCCCAAGGAATTGCCATTATCAGTCTGAGACCCAAAGGATGTTCCTGCCCCAGCATTCAGTCAGGTGCCCATAGGGATCCGGGATGATGTAGAGACCACCAGCCAGGTGTCTTCCCAACTTGGATTATTGGGAATGTGGGTCACCAGGGCTCTCTGCAACGAGGGTCCTCTGATGGGAGAGGAAGTTGGAGCAGTGCACAAAGCTCTTCCAGCAGTCAGGGCTTCCCTTACCGGTGTCTCCATTGGTGTTGATTCAAGACTGAGCTGGTCCTGAACCTCTTCCCACACTCGGGGCACTCGTAGGGCCTTTCCCCGGTGTGGATGCGCCGGTGCCTGATGAGGTGGGAGCTGTGCTTGAAGCCCTTCCTGCAGTCAGGGCAGCGGAAGGGCCTCTCCTCTGTGTGAATCCGCAGGTGTATGAGGAGAAGGGAGCTGGTCTGAAATGATTTCCCACACTCGGAACACTCGTAGGGCCTCTCCCCTGTGTGGATCTTCTGGTGGGAGGTCAGGTGGGAGCTCCGGCTGAAGTTCTGGCCACATTCCCAACACTCGAAGGGCCGTTCCCCAGTGTGGATGCGATGGTGGATGGTAAGCTGGGGGCTGTCTCTGAAGCCCTTCCCACACTCGGGACACTCGTAGGGCCTCTCCCCAGTGTGGATCATCTGGTGGCGGATCAGGCGGGACCTCCAGCTGAAGCTCTTCCCACACTCCAAGCACTTGTGGGGCTTCTCCCCATCACTGAGCTGCTCAGAGACCACGAGGCCCAAGCTCTGGCTGAAGCTCTGTCCACCTTCCTCGCTCAGGGTGGGTCTTTCCTCCTTGGAGCACCCTGGGATGGGTTTGCAGCCTCCCCTCCTGCAGGATCTCTGGGGATTTTCCTCCCCATCGGATTCCTGTGCTGTAGAGTCACTCAAAACAGCCTCTTCCACGAGGTTCTGCTGTGGGGATTTGTCCTCCCTGGTCTCCATCCTCAGATCCCTGTCTGGGGGAGGAAGGACAAAGAGAGGATGGCATTTGCCTCCGTGGCAGAGGGAAGGGGACAGTGATCCCCCTCAGTACATCCCCAGCAGGACAGCATTGGAAGTGGGGCTGTCCTGCAGCTGAGGTGGATGCTGGGCTGGGAGATAAGAGCAGGAGAGAGGGGGAAAGGGGCAGTGACTTCTTCCTCACCTGCCTGGGCGTCCAGGGGCATCTGCCTCTTCCTCACAGCCTCTTCCTCCATCCAGCCAAGGGTTGGGAATAGGAAATCCTGGTTTGCAGGGAAAACAAGTGATGAACACTTGGGTTAGGCGGTTCCCCCTGCCCAACTTCATCTCTAGATGTCAGCATTGTATGTCCATAAAAGTCTGCTCTAAAAAAGCCTCCCAGAAGTTCCCCATCTCTGGTCTCTCAGTTTTGGGGTTCTGGGATTCCTCCTCTCCCAGGCTGCTGGAAGTCCCAGGAACCCAAAAATCTCCCCCCTTTGCCATCTCCCCACTTAGGGATGCTGGGGGTTTTGGGCAAAAAGGGAGCCCAAAGCCCCCGGCATCCTTAAATGACGGGGTGGAAAAGGGGGAACTTTTCGGATTCCTGGGACCCCCAGCAGCCTGGGGAGGGCGGGACCGAGTAGAAGGGGTACCCCCAATGCAAGAGGGACCCCCATCAGCTGGGACAGGGGGGAACCTCCGCGGGCACCTGCGGGATGGGGGCGATGCTCCCGGAGTGCGGCGAGCTCAGGCAGCGCCGGATCCCCGCGATTCCTGCCGTCCTCTGCTGCTGCCGCTTCCTGCTGCCGCTCCGCCTCTTCCTCCCTCCCTCCTCCTCCTCCTTCAGTCTCGGAGCCCTCGCAGCCCGCGGGATCGGCAGGGATGGAGCCAGGACGGGTCGGAAGGCAGAGAGGGCTGGGGGGGATGCCAGGAGTGGGAGGGACTGGGCTGTACTGGGATCATGCTGGGAGTGAGGAGGAGCAGCGCGATGGCTGCAGTGCTGGGGCCCCGGGAGCGGTGCGGGGTGAGGGGGACCCCCGGCACGGGGACTCTTTGATCGCCCATCCCGGAGCACCGCGGGGCCCCTGAACCCCCATTCCTGGGCGCCGCCATCCCCCCGTTGCCCCCCGCACCCCCTTCCCGGCCATCCCAGCCCCCAGAGGCCCCTTCTTCACCCCGAGCACCCATGGCCCCTATTCTTGCCTTTCCCAGCGCCCAGCCCCTCCTCTCCTCAACACTGAAGACACTCGGGACCCCTGTTCCCAGCCGTCCCGGGGTTTCCCACCTTTTGCTGGGAATGGGGACACCGGGGAGCCTTGGAGCTCCCTTTCTTGGACACGGGAACCCCCTTAACCCAGCCCGTCCCACCTCTGGCCACCCCAGCCTCCCCTTTTCTCAATCCTGGAGCCCCCAAACCCTGTTCCCAGCTCTCCCGTTCCCCCTTCCCTTGCCCCGTGATCCCCCAGTCCCCAAATCTCCGTGTCCCCCCAGTTCTCCTGTCCCTGCGGCCCGGGGTTCCCCCAGTTGGAGTCCGTGGATCCCGGATGGGATCCCCTTCCAGCGCCGCCGCAGCGAGCGGGGCCGGGCGGAGCCGAGCCGGGATCTCGGCACGGCCAGAGCCGGCACAAGGAGCGGGGCCGAGCCGGGATCTCGGCACGGCCAGAGCCGGCACAAGGAGCGGGGCCGGCACGGGGCCGAGCCGCGGAGCTGCAGCTGGTGCTCACCTCCTGTCACTCCCAGCTGCTCCCAGTTCCTCCCAGTGGGTGCCAGTCGGTTCCCAGCATGTGCCTGGTAGCTCCCAGTACCCCCAGTCAGGGACCAGTCACACCCACTATGATCCCAGTACGATTGTAGCTGCTCCCGGTATGATCCCAGTGACTCCTGGTATGATCCCAGTCACTCCTGGTATGATCCCAGTGACTCTCGGTATGTTCCTAGTTACTCCCAGTATGATCCCAGTCACTCCTGGTATGATCCCAGTCACTCCCAGTATGATCCCAGTCACTCCCAGTATGATCCTGGTCACTTGTGGTCTAACTCCACTCCCAGTATGATGCCAGTGGCCCCCAGTGTGATCCCAGTTGCTCTCTGTCAATGCCAGCATGACCCCAGAAGTCTCCAGCATGATCCCTGTGACTCCCAGTCTCTCCCAGTACATCCTAGTCACCCCCAGCATGCTCCCAGTCACTCCCACTTCCTCCCTCGTGCTTTCAGCATGATTCCAGTTGCTCACAGCTGCTCCCACTGATCCCAGTATGATCCCAGTTGCCTCCAGTATAGTTCCAGCTGTTCTCAGTTCCTTCCAGTACGATCCCAGTTGCCCCTAGAATAGTCCCAGTACCTCTCAGCATGGTCCCACTCGCTCCCAGTTGCCCCCAGCGTGGTGCCAGCTGTCCCAGTGTAGTTCCAGTTCTCCCAGTATGGTCACAGACACTCCCAGTATATCCCAGCTGGCCTAGTACAGTTCTCATTAGCTCAGAATGATCCCCATCTTTCCCAGTTACTCCCAGTTACCTCCAGCATGATCCCAGTTTCTGGCCCAAAGTGTGTTCCCAGTGGCTCCCAGAATGACCCCAGCAAGACCAGTAGTCACTCCCAGTATGGTTCTAGTCACTCCCAGTATGACCCCAGTCAGTCCCAGATACTCCCAGTATGATTCCAGTCATGCTCAGAGTGACTCCCTCTCACTCCCAGTGTGGGCCCAGTTGCTCCCAGTTGCTTCCAGTATGGTTCCAGTCACAGCCAGCACCTTTCCAGTCACTCCCAGTACGATGCCAGACAGTTCCTGCAGGATCCCAGGATGACACCAGTATGGGCATGGCTGTTCCCATTATCATCCAGTGTGGTTCCAGTTGCTCCCACTGTGGTTTCAGTGTCTTCCAGTGTGTCCCAGTTGCTCCCAGCATGTTCGCAGTCACTCCCAGTTGCCCTGAGTTGCTTCCAGCCTGATCCCAGCTGCTCACAGCCACTCCCAGTCACCCTGAGTGCAGTCCCAGTTGCTGCCAGTATGATCCAGCATGATGCCAGTCACTCCCAGCATAGGCCTAGCTGCTCCCACTGTGATCCCAGTTGCCCTCAGCATGGTTCCAGTCACTCCCTGTTGCTCCCAGTGTGATGCCAGTTGCCCTCACTATACTCCCAGGCACTCCATAGATTATTCCAGTCCCTCCCAGCATGGTCCCAGTCATGCCCAGTTGTCCTCAGTGTTCACCCAGTCACTCCCACTTGCTCCCAGTTACCCCCAGCATGGGGTCCCAGTTGTCCCCAGCATGGTCCCCATTTTTCCCAGTGTGGTTCCAGTCCCCCCAGTAAGGTCACAGAGACTCCCAGTATATGCCAGTTGCCCTCAGCATGCTCACAGTCATTCCCAGTCAATCCCAGTTGCCCCAGTATAAACCAGTCCCTGCCAGTGCTGCCACTGCTGGGGTCCCCCAGCCCTCTGTGCGTTCCCCGCTCCCGGATGTGCTGAGAGGAGCCCCAAGGGCTGGCAGTGCCCAGGCAGGGTCCCCAGCCAGCCCCAGTTTGGGTGTTGGGCCCCCAGTTCTCCCAGTTTGCCTCTCCTTTTGCCCGGGCCGGGTTCCCCAGGCTGCCTCTGCGCTGGGAGCAGCCGAGAGCCCTGCGCTGCCCGTGCCGAGCTGTCCCGGCTCCATCCCTGCTCCTGCCGCGGCTGCGAGGGCTCCGGGAACGGGGCAGCGACGGGGTCGCTGCTGCTGGGGGAGGAGGAGGAGGGAGGGAATGGAGGGATGAAGGAGGAGAGCCAGAAGGGATGGAAGTAGGAGAAGGAGGTGGGCTTAGGGAGGAGGAGGAAGAGAAGGGATGGAAGAGGAAAAAGAGGAGGGACAAAGGCGGATGAAGGAAACCAGAGGGAAGCACGCGGTCGAGCCCTCCCTGAATTCACAGCCCCCACCTGTGGGATCATCGCCCCCCATCCCGCAGGAGATCAGGGAGGGGGGGAGCTCAGCCCAGATATCCCGGGGGGTCCCTGGGTTGGGTTTTTTGGGGGGGGATGTTTTGGGGGGGAGAATGAAGAAGTGCAAGGCTGAGTGGAAAAGGCCCCTTGGGGGGACATTGGGGGTGGCGGTGGCAGCTGCCGGCAGAGGCAGAGGCAGCCTGGAGGAGCAGAGCCCTGTGTCCCCCAGGAGCCCAAAGTGGGGAGCCCAGAGAGGGGGGAGCGCTGCCATCCACCCCTCAGCAGCCTGGAGAGGGGCGTCAGAGCCCAGGATGTTCCTCTGACTGCCCTGGAGGACTCAAGACCCTGGCAGAGGGCTCAGAGACCTTGGCACAAAGACACCTGTGCCTTCGATTTTAACCCATGGAAAAAATTACCAGCTTTGTATGAAGATGTACAAGCCACAAGAGTTTAAGTAGAATAATAGTTAATTTGTCACAGGATGAAAAACTAGAATTTTTGGGGTTTTAGAATGGGGGTTCAAGAGGCAAGATGGAGGGATTTGGTCGTGTCCTATCCTTTTTCTCCTTCTTCTTGTCCTCCATCTTCTGCTGTGATGGTGACACTTCTTGATTGGTTTAGAGTAGAGACAGACTGTCCAACATAGGTGATAGGTATTGGAAAATTATTGTAAATAAAGTACATGGAGTTCTTAGTAAAAAATGCTAACACCACCCCAAGGGCGGTCAGTGTGCCACGAACCGACCTGCTAGACAGACCTCAGCAGGTCAGAGAAAAAATGTTATAGATAAGGAAAATTAAACAACCTTGAAAAGCAGAACCGACGCATCTTGGCTTCTTCTTTGGTTGCGGGGCTGGGAAAAAAGAGACTTTCTAACACCTCGGGGCCATCTGGACCCCAGAAAGCCAAGAACTGGCATTCCCTGGGTGGGCCTGGGCTTGCGAGCTCAGACCACTAAACATCAGACATTGAATCCCAGCCCGAGAAAAGGCACAACGACAGAGAAAAATTCCAGAGCAGACACCCTGACCTCTGCAGAGACAAGTCGCTCCAAACTCGACCCAGAAAGGAGGAAAACCCAAGGTGCCTGGGAGTTCCCCACCTGGGATATGCTGGCCAGTGACCGGGAAAACCTCTGGATCGATTTTACAGACGATGCAGCTTTTGGTAAGACAGGTCAAAATTAAGAACATGGGGGGAGCTTATTCCCAGGAACAATTTAGCATCTTGTCCGCCCTACAGAGCGTGACAGCCACTTATCCCGTGGAAATTCCTGAGGAGGAGCTCAGGGCTCTTTTGCTATGGGTGCTGTAATTATCCGCACTCAGAATCCCGTATGTTATTTGAGCCAGGGTTTTGGCAAGACATTAACAGACACCTTTATCATTTAACAACAAAGGAAGATAAAATGGCCTTGAAACTTTTAGCTCCAGCGAGAGTAATGCTGGGGGCAATTTCGCGGAATGCTGCAGGGGCTGCCTGCCATCAGCAGCCAGCAGAAATGACTGCCAGCAGTCAGGGGAGAGGGGAACCGCCTTGCCATCCGCAGGCGGGGGATACTCCTGTCAAATTAGGAGGAACAGAAAAAGGTGCGGGGGGAATCGTCACCACCCTCAGGGTCTCCAGGCACACCTCTGCCGCTCCCGGGAAAGCTCAAATTAACTATTTTTCCAAGCGATTTGGAGGACGGGGATTTTGCCTTTTTTGAGGCGTGTTCCCCAAAATGGCAGAGACCGATGCGAAATCTCACCGCGGAGGACACGGCGGGACTATCGGGGCGGGGGAAGAGGAAATCGTGGGTTCCGAGCAGGAGCAACGCCGAGGCAGCGCCGGGCGGGCAGCAGCAGCTATCCCGGGGGATCACAGTGCCGGGCGGGCAGCAGCTCTCTGGGAAGAGCACAGCGCCGGGCGGGCAGCAGCTCTCTGGGAAGAGCACAGCGCCGGGCGGGCAGCAGCCCTCGGGGAATCACAGAGGCGGGCGGGCAGCAGCCCTCGGGGAATCACAGAGGCGGGCGGGCAGCAGCCCTGGGGGAATCACAGAGGCGGGTGGGCAGCAGCCCTCGGGGGACGCTCGGCGGCTGCGAGCGCGGTGCCGAGCGAGACCGGAGCGCGCGCAGCGCAGCGCGGGGCGGCGGCGGCGACGGCGGAACGCGACGGACGCGCGCTGATGACGCAAACCCGGCAGGCGGAGCGCGGGGATTGTCCCGCGGTGCGGACGCGGCAGGGCCCGGCCGGGCGGGAGTCGCGCCCGGCGGGTGCGGGGCTTGGCAGGAGCCAGCGGGGCGAGTCCCGGCGGGGATCAGAGCGGGGCGGAGGCACCGGACCGGGAGTGGGGGCGGGACAGCGCGAGTGGCGATCGCGGGGAGGAAGGGAGCGTTTCCGAGAGCGCGGCTGCGCCTGAGCGAGCAGAGACGGGGAGCGGTAAGGGCGGAGACGTTCCTGAGGGCAGCGCCGTGTCACGGCGGGCACAGCCAGCCACCGCCGGCACACAGCGAGCAAACGGCCGGCACGCAGCCAGCACACAGCCAGCACATAGCCGGCACACAGCACACAGCCGGCACACAGCACACAGCCAGCACACAGCCAGCACACAGCACACAGCACACAGCCAGCACACAGCACACAGCAAGCACACAGCCAGCACACAGCCAGCACACAGCACACAGCCAGCACACAGCACACAGCACACAGCAAGCACACAGCCAGCACACAGCCAGCACACAGCACACAGCCAGCACACAGCACGCAGCCAGCACACAGCACACAGCCAGCACACAGCACACAGCACACAGCCAGCACACAGCACACAGCCAGCACACAGCACACAGCACACAGCAAGCACACAGCCAGCACACAGCCAGCACACAGCACACAGCCGGCACACAGCCGGCACACAGCATACAGCCAGCACACAGCAAGCACACAGCACACAGCCAGCACAGAGCACACGGCACACAGCCAGCACACAGCACACAGCCGGCACACAGCACACAGCACAGAGCACACAGCAAGCACACAGCACACAGCACACAGCCGGCACAGAGCACACAGTACACAGCCAGCACAGAGCACACAGCACACAGCCGGCACACGGCACACAGCACACAGTCAGCACACAGCACACAGCCAGCACACAGCACACAGCCAGCACACAGCACACAGCACACAGCACACAGCCAGCACACAGCACACAGCACACAGCCAGCCACAGCCAAAATCTCAAGGTGGAGGTTTTTCACAAGTGTAGCAGGTGTTACGTGAGGCACCTCGCCCAGCTCTTCCACAGGCCGGTTCCACAGAAGTGATGGCAACAGCATTTGCCAGAGCACCATGCTTCAGATGCAGAAGATATGGACGAGTGAAAAAGAACTGTCCAGAATCAGAGAAAAGTGAGAAAGCACCAGGCCTTTGCCCAAGAGGCAGAAAAAAGGAACACTATGCAAACCAATGTTATTCCAAATATGATATACATGGAAATCTTCTGTTGTGAAAAGTGCTTCCCAAGGAGGGAAACAACCATGTAAAGATAAAAGTATTAGTAATGATTCAATTATCCAAAATATCCCTGAAGACAGAGCATTTGGGAAACATCAGTGGGATCATGTCTGTGGGGTCATCAGCTGATTCCCCAGTGGTTCAGAGTTTTAGGGATTGTTGGTATTGAGCTTGTAACCTTTGTTATTTTTGCTTTTTATAAGTAATACTGATAAATAATGATCGTTGTTAATGTTATATGAATGCTTTAAAAAGGTTATCTTAACCCCTTCAAACATGTCCTGTTGATAAGTTGATTATGTAACATGAATATTCAGATTTCTATGATAAGAATTATTATTAAGGTATTGTTGTAGTATTTGCAGCCAGCTTTCATGTGTTTTACTGTCTCTTTGTGTGATTACCTACAAGACACGTGTCTCTTCAAGATCCTGCTTTTTTATTTCTTAACTATTCGTATGGGTTTTTTTGGTTTTTTTTTTTGTTTTTTTTTTTTAAATCCAGATTGCCAGTTTCATGGTTTTCTCCAGTTATTACTACAGAGACACTCCAGCAGAGAGTTCAGTTGTGACATTAATTTCTTGGTTTTTTGAGTTTCAGTTTTGTACTAGGTAATCAGTCTTTCATTCAGCTGCACTTCCTCCCCGCTCAGTGTCCAGATCCAGGCTCACAATCCTGACTGTGACCAAATTCTCATCTCTGAAGAAGAGGTTTGCTGTATTTGAAGAATCTCTTTCTTGAAAGAAACTTTGGAGGAATTCAATTACTTGATGGTTTTATTGGTTTTCAACCCTAGGGTTTCTTATTCCTAACTGTTATTTTTAAGAGTCTTGTTTCAAAATGTGTTAAGTGATACCCACCAATTAGAGTTCGGGCTCTGGCCAAGCTCTGGTTCTACTTGGATGGAGTGATTGACAATCAGCCCAGATGTTTTCTGCATAAAAAAAAAAAATTATTCAAGTCCTTTTGACTTGGCAATTTGACCATCCATGACAACTGAGCCGATTTTCAAAGGGAGTTTGGAGATATATTATATATATACATAATATATACTAAATTATATATTCTATACTTTGCTGAGCATCTTAATACAGTTGAATCAATCTCTATGTTTTATCTATAGCCTATGACAACTACTATAATTAACATATTCATGTTACTATTCTCCAATCACTAAAAGTTAGTACATTACAGTTTAAGCTAGAAGTTGTTTTTCAGTTTTCTTGCAGTGGAAAATTCTGAGACCTTTTTTCTACTTGCAACATCTGCTGACTTGTTTGCCTGTGCTATCTTTCTGCTTGGTAAAAACATCTTCTTGTTTGAGGTGGGTTTATCCTTTGCTCTAAGAGATAAAAATCCCCTTCTAATTAACACACCCTTTGGCTCCTTGGTTATCCAGTAAGACTGGCTCAGCAATTCTTTTCTTCTGTATCAAAACTTGCCTCCATCTCTATTCCTTCCTCACCTTCTACATTCAAAAAATCTTTCTGCTGAGCATACATACCTGTGAGACTTTCTTGTCAAACTTTCATCCTTCCCAACATCTCCCCTGTTCTGATGAACAACAAAGATGCTAGAAAGTGTCTTATTCGTCATTCTCTCCATACACTGAAGTGCACAGGGTACCACTAACATAATTGCAATTATCACCACTAACACAATTAAGCCTAACTTACAAAGTTCCTTCAGCTAAGGTGCAAAGCTCCAACCATCAAACAAATTGTCTAACCAAGATGGTTCATCTGTTGTAATTTGGTTAGCTAAATCTCTTAAGTTTTGCAGCTGTTTATGAATAGAAGCAGAATGATCAGACAAATTCATACAACACAATCCTTCAAAATCTTCACAGCCATGTCCATGTGGTAGTAAAAGAAAGTCAATAGCAGCTCTATTTTGTCAAGTGGCTTGTCTGACTGCCTCCTTATCTGTCAACAAATCACTAATTATGCTAGAGGTGGCATTTACTTCTTTACTGAGCCAACACCCTAATTTGTTTAACGGTTTCAATGTAATTGCAGAAGTTAATTGAGGCAAAAAAATGCTTGTAACAATTGATTTTCCAGAGTTCCAAGGGTGAAACTCACTATCACAGTTGCTCTCCTAATGATGCCCTAAGGAAGATCTTACTTTTCAATTTTTCTTTTTGATTGCTTTTTTGATACTGTGAGCAATTATGGTAAGTTGTCCCAGAGCACAAGGGCCACCATCTAGTTTTAAGGGAATACTTTGCCAAGCCCTGTCTCCACGCATGAGCCAAATTCCTTTAAGAAATCAAATTGGAAGTTTGTTAAAACGATCTGCATAAGGTTCATCATATATAAGAAGCTCAGTTTGATTACACCAAGAAGTCATATTGCTATAAACTGGGTGATAAGGAGTAACATTTAAATGTGGCCCATTTTTTCCTACAAAATGAAACAAATAACAAGTGTCCATAGTTAATGAGCCTAAAATTTCTAATTCTTGGAGGTCAGATTTATCAACTTTATCAATATAAGTTTGGTGTCTTGGGCTGGGAGTTGGGGAAATGTGGTGATCATCATATGGCCAATATTTATCAAAAGTAACATTATCAAAACCTTCAGGGAAAGGCACTCCAACAAAACAAGTTGAAAAAGGTTTATCAGGGCTAGTGTTAGATAAGCAGATGGTGTCAGAGCCTGCAGACTTGGCTAAAGAAACCCAAACATTTGTTTTAGGTTGAGTTACAGGTAAAGCTTCACTGCAAAGATAAAAGGTTAAAAGTAGCATGCACCTGCATAAATAATAATACACCTCCATTCTCTTCTTGAACCGTGTCTGGCAGACAGTTTTCTCTGGGGAATCCTGCGTAGATCACAGGGTTCCTGTCTCTTGGCTTCTACTCAGGGTCACTGGCTGATGTGGAAGTGTCCACGGGCTTTGAGGGGTGGTACGGTTTCATGTTTTTTGCTGGAATCCACTTGAGTCCTGTATCTGTAGAAACACACGCAAACCCCTTGCCCCATGTAATAAGATCAAATGGTCCTTCTATTTTTCCTGATTCTAGATTTTTAATTAAAAATGGGGGGTGTTCCTTCAGTTTTGCTTTTTTGTTGTTCTTGGAATGTCTGTAAATGGGGGGAATCAGGCTCTTCTGCAGAGCTATTCAAAAAGTTATAAACGTACAAAGCCTTATTCAACCTCCTTTGAGGTGTATCCTGGGCTCCCCCCCCTTTTTGTTGATCTAAAATGCGTTTTAGAGTTTGATGTGTTCTTTCTACTATTCCCTGACCTGTGGAAGAATAGGGAATACCAAATGTATGGTGAACACCCCAGTCATTTAAAAATATGGCAAATTCTTGTGAAGCATGTGAAGGACCATTATCAGTTTTAATTTCTTGAGGGGCACCCAATGAAGAGAATGCTTGTGAAAAATGCTGGCAAACAGGCTTAGCTCTTTCTCCTGTATGTACAGACGCAAAAAACTGCTTTTGAAAATGTATCAATAGAGGCACGGATATTTTTAAATTTCCCAAAAGAAAGGTAATTTGTGATATCTGTTTGCCATTTCTGCAAACTTTCCAACCCCCTTGGGTTGGTTGCTCCTGTAGAAGGGGTAGGTTGGACAAGCTGACAGTCAGGGCAAGCCCACACAATGGCTTGTGTTTGCTCTAGGGAAATGTGAAAATCTCGTCCATGCATTTTGGTGAAAAAAGGCATGACTCAACTGAGCTTGTTCAACAATGTCAGGCAAGGTAGCTACAGGAAGCACAGAAGTGAAATCTCCAAAGTTTCCTTCAGTTCCCTCATCACACTCTGCTGATGGCAATGTACCACCTCGTGCGTTCCCTTCTGCCATAAATCCTGGGAGACCAGAGTGGGCTCCATTGTGAGCAACAAAGTAAGGATTAGTTCTGTGTAACAAAATTTGATAAAGACAGGTGAGCCAAAGACACAATTTGTCGTTGCTAACATCTTTTAAAACAGACCCTTCAATTCTCTTAACAACATTAGCCACATATGCTGAATCAGTGACTAGGTTAAAAGGTTCTGGCAAGAGCTGAAATGCTCTTACAACTGCAGCCAATTCCACAACCTGAGGAGAACCTTTGACCTTTTGAACATCTTGTTCCCAGGATTTAGTGTTTTTATTTTGGCATGCAATTACTGCTTTGTGTGTTTGTCCTGACACATCACTGAAAAGAGTAGCTGCATCTAAAGGTTCTCTTCACTGATAAGGGGTTTCTCTTTGTAGCATAATTTAGCTTTGATCACTTTGTGTGCTGGGTAATTAATGGAACAGACACCTGGAAAATCTAACAAAGCATACAGCAAATCTTCTGACTTTGGCATGACCCAATCAAAATAGGATTTAATCATAATTAAATAGATGAATGCAAATTCGCAACCTGCTATAGAAAGAAGCCTTGCCCTGCCTTTAATGATAATTTGAGAAATAATCTCTAAAGATGTGAAGTTTGTCTTTGGTGACCTGTAAGAAAGAAAAACCCATTCAATTATTAACAAAGGATCATTTTGAGAGGAGTGCCATTGGAAAATGAGGCTATACAGTCTCAGCGTTTCTCCTAGAATTGCAAGAAAAAAAAAGGTTTATCTGGAACATAGTGATGTGCTTGTCTGTTTTGCAAAGCATCTGTGATTCTTTCTAAAGCTTTGCAGGATTCAGGAGTAAGAGATCTGGGGTATTTAATGTCACTCTCTCCTTTTAACAAATCAAAAAGTGGAGCGAGTTCATCAGCAGTGATTGCCAATACTGGTCTAACCCAATTAATGTCTCCTAATATTTGTTGCAAATCTCACAAAGCATGAACACTGGTTTTGAGTTGTATCTTCTGAGGCTTAATAGATTGTTCTGTCAGTTTCCAGCCTAAATATTTCCAGGGAGCAGTCTCTTGCATTTTTGATTCAGAAACAACCAGCCCAGCTTTCCTTATTTCAGTGACAACACTGTCACAAGTCTCTTCTATTTGTTTCTGCGTTGGTGCTGCAATGGCAAATCATCCACGTAATGAAGAATAACTGAGAGTGAAAACTGCTCTCGGACTGGAGACAAAGCACGGGCTACAAAGTATTGACAAGTACTGGGCTAGTTAATCATATCCTGAGGAGGTACAAGCCAGTGATACATCTGAAGTGGTTCTTAAAGGTTTGTACTTGGAACAGAAAAGGCAAAATGAGAAGCATCATCTGGGTGGAGAGGAATATTGAAAAAACAGTCTTTTAGATCAATAATAAGTGGCCAGTTTCTTGGAATCATGGAAAGGTTAGGTAGACCAGGTTGGAGTGGGCCCATTTTTTCAATTGCAGCATTAATTTTTCTAAGATCATGTAACAGTCACCAGGTGTCAGAAGTTTTTTTGTGGATCACAAACATGGGTGAGTTCCAGGGACTGGTAGTGGGTTTAATGTGGCCTTTTTGTAACTGCTCAGCCACTAGTTTTTTGAGGGCACTCAGTCTGTTATCTTGTAGGGGCCACTGGTCCACCCAGGCAGGGATGTGAGTTTTCCAGGTCAGCTTCAGGGTGGTGAGTGCCTCAGTGGCCCCTGTTAAAAACCCACTTCAGTTTTTGCTCATTGTGACAGCAAATCCCTTCCTCACACTACATAGGGATGGATCAATGCTTTCTTCCCTTCTGGTCCTTTGACACTAATCATAGATTCACTTTGTAAGCACAGAGTGACACCTTCTGTGCCTGTGAGAGTGCCTGAAGGAGTTATTAACTTCCAATCTCCTGGCCACAGAGAATGAGATATTACAGCAACATTGGCTCCTGTATCAATCATGCCTGAGATATCAACCCGAGCTCCACCCTTTGACAATTCACAAATCAGCAGTGGCCCTTGACGATTAGTCTTTTGAACCCAAAAAACATCTGGATTTTCAGAAACAATTGAAAAACAGTGTGATGGCATTTGATTTGCAGTCTCTACAGGCAGTGCTATAGCAATAGCTATAGGGGTTCTAGGTGGAATATGCAGTGGGTAGTAGTAGGCTTTAGATAATACCAATAACTCTTCATTGCAATCAACAGACATTACACAAGGCAAAACAAGCAGTCCAAGAATACTGTTGTTCTCTTTACTAACAACTAGAAAGTCATGTCTTTTTTGTGAGGTTCCAGTAACTCCTGTTGAAATATAATTATAGCCATTATCTTTTAAAAAGGTTGTTGGTTTGGAGGTTGCCAAAGCGCACCAGGACATGGTGGGTAGTAGGTCTGGGTCTGGTCTCTCCCTGGGATTTGGCTGGAAATGAAGTGTAGTGCTTCAGAGTCGGGGTATTCACAAATCTTACCCCTGTATGTTCTCGGGTATCTGTGGTGCCACTACTTGTGTCATTACATGGTGATGCTGCATGCTCATTTTGAAGTTTTTTGGAATTGGGTTTCCATCAATATCATATTTAGATCACTGTTTAACAAAATGCCTTCCTATTCTATATTGCGGACAAAGGTCTGATGTCTGTGCCTCTCTTTTCACCTCTGGGCAATTTCTCATTATGTGGCCAGGTTTTTTACAGAAATAGCATAGCCCTGGGATCACAGAAGTTCTCCCAGCATCCCTAGTATTATTCTGTTGCTGAGAATTTAACAGAAGAGCAGCCAAAATTTCTGTGCGTTTTTGGTCTCGTGTTTCTATTTGTGCTGCTTGGGCTGCAAGAGCTCTTTCAGTGTTTTCTCCTAGGGTCTTTCCAAGCTCATTTGCCTGGATAGCTGCCATCTGCTGAGGGCTTCCAATCTTATTGCAGGCATCTATCATTTCAGGCACCACGGGTCTACCTTTTCCCAGGGCTTTGATAGCTTGTTTGCATTCTTGAGTTGCATTATTTTCAATAATATCATATACCATAACTGGTACGTGAAAGCAGAAAAAAAAAGAAAAGCAGAACCGATGCATCTTGGCTTCTTCTTCGGTTGCGGGGCAGGGAAAAAAGAGACTTTCTAACACCTTGGGGTCATCTCAACCCCAGAAACGTCATCAAAGGGGCAGGGGGGACTCCTTGGAGCCCCTGCACCCCAAAGCAGAGAATAAGGGGAGAAGGGACCCTGAGACCCCAAAATCCCAGCATCCCTAAGTGGGGAGATGGAAAAGGGAGAAACTTTTTTTTTTATTCCTGGGACTCCCAGCAGCCTGGGGAGGGCAGGGACCGAGTCGACAGACGACCCCCAATACAAGTGTGACCCCCAGCAGCTGGGACGGGGGAACCCTCAAATGCCAAAGGGAAGAGACCACAGACATGGAACACCTGGGAGGCATTTTCAAGGCCGAGTCTTGGTGTTTGGGAGATTTTTATGGACTCCAAATGTCTGGTGACTTCTAGAGATGGACTTGGGCAGATGGGCCTTCATACTTAATGTGTTCATCCCTTGTTTTTCCCCAAACCAGGATTTCCCATTCCCAAACGTTGTCTGGATGAAGAGGGTGGTTGTGAGGAAGAGGAAGATGCCCCAGGACACCCAGGCAGGTGAGGAGGAAGTCACTGCCCCTTTCCCCCTCTCTCCTGCTCCATCTCCCAGCCCAGTATCCACCCCAGCTGCAGGACAACCCCACTTCCAATGCTGTCCTGCTGGGGATGTACTGAGGGGGATCACTGTCCCCTTCCCTCTGCCACGGAGGCAAATGCCATCCTCTCTTTGTCCTTCCTCCCCCAGACAGGGATCTGAGGATGGAGACCAGGGAGGACAAATCCCCACGGCAGAACCTCATGGAAGAGGCTGTTTTGAGCAGCTCCGCAGTGCAGGAATCCAACAGGGAGGAAAATGCCCAGAGATCCCCCACGAGGAGGGCCTGCAAACCCATCCCAGGGTGCTCCAAGGAGGAAAGACCCACCCTGAGCGAGGAAGGTGGACAGAGCTTCAGCCAGAGCTTGGGCCTCGTGGTCTCTGAGCAGCTCAGTGATGGGGAGAAGCCCCACAAGTGTGGGGAGTGTGGGAAGGGATGCAGCTGCAGATCCAACCTCTTCACCCACTGCGTCCACAGTGGGGAATGCCCCTATGAGTGTTGGGAATGTAGGATGAGCTTCAGATGGCGCTCTGACTTGATCCCCAACCAGATGATTCACACTGGGGAGAGGCCCTATGAGTGTGGGAAGAGCTTCAGCCAGAGGACCCAAGTGATCATTCACCAACGCATCCACACCTGGGAGGCCCATGTTCACTTCTGTATGGTTGGCCAGATATACCAGTCTCTGGATGGTATAAATCCTAAATATGTCGACCTGAAGAGGTTTGAGAGATGAGTTGCCAATGCGATGGAGCCAATCCACAATTTTCTCTGATAAACTTGAATCAACAAAGCCAATCCAGGGGTCCATCCATGTGCCTAGAGGTTTTTCGGAGCTCCCTGGGTCAATCGTATTATGGGGGGATCCATTTATTATCTGTCACTATAGGACATGAAACAACACGACATGGACACACTGCTGCTCTCAAGGTAGAAATGGGATGTTTGTTTTCTGACTCCAACATCTTTAGATTTCCAAAGGTGACAGTGGATTGGAGGGTGAAAGCGCCACCTCTCCATACCTCACCGAAAACTTATAACGGCCCTACAGTTAAAAGCCAATGTTGACCTGATGAGAGAACTCATGGCTAGGGGTAGGCACGAGAATGTTGTTCAATCATGCTGGCATTGTGCTGCTAGATTCAAAACTGTTGCTCACATTGTTGGGACCTGTCCAATCACGCAAGAAGCCAGGATTAAAAGACACAATGCCATCTGTGAAACTCTTAGCTGTGAAGCTAAGAAAGCGGATTGGACGGTTTTTCAGGAGCCACACTTGCGAGATGAGGTCAACAAACAGTTTAAGCCAGATTTAATCTTTGTGAAGGATTCCAAGGCAATAGTGGTCGATGTCACAGTCAGATATGAGCACAGTAATTCCTCATTGAGGGAGGCTGCTGCAGAGAAAGCCAAAAAATATCAGCACCTTCACCCACAAATACAACAGCTGACCAATGCGGTGGACATTGAATATGTAGGCTTCCCATGGGGAACATGCAAAGTGGTACCGCAAGAACTCTGAGATGCTTTCGGCCATCGGTCTCTCTAAAACGAGGCTGGAGAAGACCGCCAGGGCCGTGGCATCCCAAGTTCTTGTAGCCTCTGTAGATATTGTACACATATTTGTGAGCAATGCCAGATCGATTGTACCTGTGTGGTATTACTGCAGGAATAAATTAGGCCCCTTCCCCTGGCTGGTTTTGCTGGACAGTCGGAAGGTTTTGGGTGGGAGGGGTTCATCCATCATAACCGTGTCCTTAAGCCCATATTTTGGGGTTTAAATTCCAATCTGGACTCTTAGGTGGACAGGCCACCTTACTTAACCCAGAAAAGAGACATATATTATTTATATATGTTTATTAAATAGCCAAATGCCTCGTCATCTAATTAGTGACGCGCATGAATGGATGAATGAGATTCCCACTGTCCCTACCTACTATCCAGCGAAACCACTCCAATGACACTGGACAAACCAACAGTCCATCAAATTTTTCCTCCTCCATAAAAGAATGCAAGATAATAAGTTGTTTACAGAAAGTGTGTGAGAAAGTTTCCTACAAGGATGTAAACATCAGAAGGCTTAGAAAATCTTAAAAAATTAGGGTGAAACTTCACCATTCTCAGTATTAAAAAAAAAAAAAAAAAATTAAAAAAAAAAGAAAGAAAAAATGAACAACATGGAAAAAGAAACATGAACAAGGTTCAGTGTCCATTTGTGGAGGAATCATCGGAGTGATCACTCGTGTCGTCTGCATTTGAGTCATCACTCAATGAATCACCCCTTGATGCCTTTCAGGTTGGTCACAGATTTCATTCTGCCGGTCGGCTGGATTCTGTCTCAGGTCAGGGGGAGCACACTTCGAAGGTACCCAGCGCACCCCAGTATCTGTGGATACACAAGCATACCTGTGCCCCAAAGCGATAAGGTCATAGGGACCTTCCCACTGTTTGGTGACCAAATTCTGCACCCGAACCTTCACTCGAGGCTGAAGTGCCTCATCCACAGCCTGCAACGAGAGACGGTGATTCAAAATGACAGGGTTATTTGACGTCTGTGGCACCGTAAGATGATTGATGGTGTACAATGCTTTTGCCAACTGACTGTGCAGGGTTTCACCCTGCATTCCCCGGTTTTGTTTTTGATGAACCCGCTTCAGAGTACCATGAGTGCATTCTGCAATAGCTTGACCAGTCGGAGAATGAGGGATACGAAACTTGTGTGACACACCCCACAACTGCAGGAACTGCCACACTTTTTGCGATGAGTAAGCAGGACTATTGTTGGTTTTCACGGCAGAAGGTATGCCCAGAATGGCAAAGGCCTGCCTTCAGTGGGCAAGGACATCGTGGCCCTTTTCTCCAGTGTGAGCAGAAGCCCACATTGCAGAGGAGAATGTGTCCACCATGACAGGCACATACTTGAGCTGGCCAAACTCGGCAATCTGGGTGACATTGGTCTGCCAAAGCTCCAAGGCCTTAAGGCCTCTGGGGTTTACCCCTGCCGGCAAAGGCGGAGCAAGCGCGTGGCAGTCGTCACACGACTCGACAATGTCACGAGCCTCAGTTGGCGTCAGCTGAAACTGCTTCTGCGGAGTATGTGTGTTCTGGTGGAAAAACCCATGCGATGCCTCGGCCTGCACGAGTGTCAGGCTGAGGCGCTACCCACACTGGGTTAGCCAACTTGTCAGCCCTCGCGTTACCTTCCACTATAAAGCCTGCAGATTGGTGTGACTCCTCACACGCAGAACATAAAACGGATGAACCCGAGCCTGAATGGCACACCACAAGGTCTTCAGTAAATGAAACAAGGCAGGATTACTGACCTCCTTGAACACCGAATGACCCAATCGCTGTGCAATGTCGGCCACATAGGCAGAATCCGTGACCAAATTGAAAGGTTCCTGGGCCAACTTCTCAAATGCCATGACAGCAGCCTTAATTTCAGCCAATTGGGCTGACCCATCCTCATGACCTTCCAGATCCTGCCACTCAGATCCGTCCCTCCAAGTAACAATGGCCTTTCCTGTCCTTCCCAAACCGTCAGTGAAGACGTTGGGTCCTTCCACGGGTTCCTGACTATTTTTGGGCCGCAAAGAAATTCGTGTGAATTTGGCCATATGCAGTAGCTTATGGCTGGGCAGATGATAAGTGATCTGCCCTGTAAAGTTTTCCAGAGCACTCTGCAGGGACACACTCTTTGCAAAGCTCCAGTCAAAATCCTTCCACTGCACCGGGAGTACGATCTTTGCGGGATCCGCACCCATCAATTGCAAACACTGTTGTCGGCATTTGATTATCAAGCGAGCGAGGAGCTCAGACAATGGGGTTGCCGTCTTTTGTGGCTGATGGGGCAGGAAAATCCATTCCAAGATGTGCAAGGAATTGGACCATTTGTCACTCCATTGGACAATGATGCCTGTGGGATGCGAATCTGGAGTGGTGATGAACAAAGTGGCATCAATGGGGGGTCAATGTGATAAACTTGGCAAGCCGAAACAACCTGCTGAACCACCTCCAGTACCCGGATGTGCCTCAGGGGTCAATGTGCGAGGCGACTTTAGATCAGATTCTCCTTTCAACAAATCATCCAGAGGAGACAGTTGTGCATGAGTTAGTCCCAGGTGCGGACGTAACCAAGTGATGACAACTACCAATTTCTGAGCATCATTCAGTGTCTTCACAGAATGCACAAATTGCACCTCTTTGTGACAGATTGTCTGTTCCAGAATTTTGACCCCCAAATACTTCCAAGGTGGTTGCTGTGGTTGCTGTTGAACCTTTTCTGAAACCTCCTGTAGTCCATGCGCATTCGAAGCATTGAGCAACCGAGGCTAAATCCTCAGCAGCTCATCCTGGGTGGACATAGCCACCAAAATGTCGTCCATATAATGATACAGACGTGCATCAGGAAACTGCTTGTGAACTCCAGACAAGGCCTGGGCCACATCCCATTGGCATATGGCTGGGGAAGCCTTTATGCCCTGGGGAAGGGTCCTCCATTGATATCTCTGTGCGGGCTTGGCATTGTTTATTAGTGGCACCGAGAAGGCAAATTTCAGTCTGTCATCGGGATGCAAAGGAATGGTAAAGAAACAATCCTTCAGACCCACAATGAGGACCGGCCAGTCTGCGAGAATCATGGTGGGCGATGGCATGCCCACCTGCAATGTTCCCATGCTTTCTATCACGGCATTGACCTTTTGGAGGTCTTGTAACAACCTCCACTTCCCAGATTTTTTCGTGATGCAGAAGACAGGAGTGTTCCAGGGACTGGTAGAAGGCTCCAGATGACCCTGGTCCAACTGCTCCTGCTCCAGATTTCAATGGGCAATGAATTTATCTTGAGGGAGGGGCCACTGGATTTCCCAGACAGGTTTGTCCACCAGCCACCATATAGGAGGCCTAGGACAATCTGCGCCCTTCGTTGCAGTGTCCCCCATCAAAAATCCATCCTGATGCGTGTCCCCCATCAAAAACCCATCCTGATGCGTGCCCCCCACGGGGACAGAACATCCCTCCTCCAGAGGTTAGCAGGAGTAGAAGTAACATGAGGCCTTAATCCAGGCCGTCTGTCCCTCTGGATTCGTGACCAGCATGAACTGCTGGCTCAAGTAACATTGTGCCGTTCCCCCCAGTCCCCTGACAGGCGTCTTCACCAGATTCAGGGGCCAGTCCGGAGGCCAGGTGGTAAGGGAGAGAATGGTGATGTCAGCACCACTGTCAAGAAGCCCGCGAAGGCGGATCTCCGACGGCATTGCACCAGGGATGGACAGGGCACACATCATCTCGGGATATTCATTGGTGAGGACAGCAGTCCAGTGAACTTGAGGCGGCCCAGTGGATCCAAAGTGGCCAGCTCCATGTGACCGGTCAGCTGTCTGGCGAACAGAGGACTTAAAAGGCAAAATTTGAGCAAGTGGTGTCCCTTTCGGGATCATGACGGGGAGGGGGGATGGGTGTGGAGACCATTGCACCAAGCTGCCCTGTGCAGTCTGCATCAATGAGCCCCAGATGCACAACGATGCCCTGAAGGGTGGCACTAGACCTCCCGGTCAGGAGAGCACTCATGCCGCCATCCAAGGGACCAAAGGCATCCAGGGGAACCTTGTGTACTTGACAAGATTCTAAAACAACTGTTTCTGCTGTGCAGATGTCCACACCTGCTGAGCCGTGGGTGCTGGCTGCAAGCTGGCTGAGCAAACCTCCATCGACTCCGGGGTCTGGAGAGAAGCCTGT